AGTTAGTGTGGGGCATGGGGGAGAAGGAGAGAGAGGAACAGAGGGAGATGCAGAATGGGTATGCACAGCTTTTAGGAGTTGATTCTCTCCTTTGGCCGTGGGCTCCTGGCATTGAATTCAGGCCCTTAGCCTTGGTGGCAAGTGCCTTTATCTGCTGAGCTGTCTTTCTCCCTGGAAATTTTGATATATCTCATCAGAGTCCTAGACTATCTTTCATAGTACATCATATCACTAGAGTCACAATGTGCTGAATCTATACAATTTTTGTTTGTTTGTTTGTTTTTTGAGACAGGGTTTCTCTGTGAAGTTTTTGAGATTGCTCTGGAGCTCCCTCTGTAGACCAGGCTGGCCTCGAACTCATAGAGATCTGCCTGCCTCTGCCTCCCAAGTGCTGGGATTAAAGGCGTGTGCCACCAACGCCTGGCTGAGTCAATACAATTGTTAACCTTATTGATAGGTACTTATATGTTTTGTTTTTCACTATTTATTTATGAATGTGCTTTATCTGCTCACTGCTATCATTGTTAGTATATGTGGAGTGCTTTTGCTGCAAAGACACCTATGCCATTATTGCCTATTTTATTTCATAAATTGGTCTGTAAAGTGTTCTATCATGTTTTGTTTTACAAAATCCACCTTCAAAAATGTAAATGTCTTCTAAAAACAAGACCCATTAAAAGTAATTACAGAAAGAGACGCAATAAGGGGAGATACTGAGCTTATTAGCAGGAGATGGGAGTGAAATCTCTAGAGATGTATGAGTTTATGACAAGAGCTCCATATTTATATCACATGCATGAGAGGTCTATAGTGAAATAAGGCCTAACAGAGTTCATTACATTAAATAATAGAATGCCAACGGTGACCTTAGCTAGGTAAATCACATAAATGAACAATAAAGAACATTGAGGGACATCATGTGTGGCACATGGCCTATAATTCTAGCACTCAGGAGGCAAAGGCAAGAGCTGCATAATGAATGACAGGCTAACTTGAGCCACACAGCAAGTTCCAGGTCAGCCTGAGTTACACAGCAAGACTGCTAAAACCAACATCAACCTCCCAAAAAATTGAGGGTTTTGGGGTGTGGTTCAGTGGCAGACCACATGCTTAGCATGATTGGAGCACCAGTCTCTGGGGCCAAAATCCCAACAATCAACAGCAAAATGAAATATTCAGAAACTATATATAGTTTATAATCTTGACAACATCTCTACCTATTTTTCATATTTATAATTTATACTTTGCTTATATTCAAAATGAATTCAGGAGAGTGATTTTAGGTTGTAATATAAATTGTAGTTACAGATGTATACTGTTTTTGTGTCTTTTAAAAGCTATTTTGCAAATTATTTTTCCCTTTATGTAAATGACTATAAGGAATTGAATGAGTTTTGAAATGTCTCTGATTTGCATAGGATAGGCAAGCAAGTCACAACTCTCTAAGATTTCCTCTGTGATTTGTAAACAAAAGAGTACTGTAGTCTTAAAACTTAGAATATTATTCTTTTTTTCTTTTTTCTTTTTTTTTTTTTTTCCGAGACAGGGTTTCTCTGTGGCTTTGGAGGCTGTCCTGGAACTACCTCTTGTAGACCAGGCTGGTCTCAAACTCACAGAGATCCTCTGCCTCTGCCTCCCGAGTGCTGGGATTAAAGGCGTGCACCACCAACGCCCATCGAATATTATTCTTTTAGGCAGCAAGAAAAATAATTTGTGAGTAAGGCTATTTTGATCTTGTGTATAATAGGTATTTGCCTAACTACAACTGTGTAAAGTTGGTATTTCAGTGAAAAGTATAGCTGTATAGGCACCACTGTGTTGCTAGATATGTGTAAATAAATAAACATGCACGTAGATATAGAGGAGTAAAGTGTTTGGCCTGACCCAACAGAGATCTGACTTCTTCCCTCTGGATAGTCATTTACATCATTCTACTTGACAGATGCATGCTTGTGTTGTTTAGTGAAGGGACAGGCCATACTTGTTCGTGTTAGGGAATGGGTTGGCTTAGCCCAAGATCAGTTGTGTCATATAGTGTGGAGGCTTAGGGCCTTCTTACAGTCCAGGTGACTTGAGTTCAATTACATGAGCAGTGCATCATGCCTATATGATGATGCCTCAATAAAACCTCTACCCTCTGAAACTCCTGAACCTCCTACCATGCCGAATTGTTACATATGGATAGTACATATGGGGAGGGGACAATGAAAGTTTCAGATTTGGAATTTTCTCAAGACTTGTCATATATTTTTCTCTTGTGGCTTATTTTGACTAGTATCATTTTATTTCAGAATTTGAACATAATAACTTCAGTATTTTTCATTAGTGCTTTTAGTAAATTATTGAGCCTAAACATGGCTTTAGTAACTTTCCAAGTTTGGAGTTTGTGTCAGAATTGAGGACATTCTTGGGTCTTGTGTTTTATATAAACTACATACATAATATGTTATCAGACAATCTCCTGGTAATCAGTCTAAACCAGGGCCTCACACATTCCAGGCAAGTGCTCTATCAGAACCCTGTGACAGCTGATACTAATCAATGTGGCAGGATTTAGCATTACTTAGGAGACCAGCTCCTGGGCACACCTGTGAGACATTCTCTAGGTTAATTGCGCTGGAAAGACCTACTTTTAACTGTGACGCTCTTCCATGGGATTCATTCCTAGGCTGAATCAAAGTGAGAAGTGAGCTGAGTGCAAGTGAGTAATCTAGTACTCATCATTTCCGGCTTTCTGACTGTTACAATGTGGCCAGCAGCCTCTAGCTCTGCCGCCAGGACTTCCCTGATATGGTAAATGATACCCCCGGAGAGTTTCAAAATATAAACAGTATAGACTTATTTGTCCCAGGCAACAAACTTCAAGAGATCCTGGCTCTCTCTTAGGTTTTGTTTGTCAGAGTATTTAATCACAGTAACAGAAAGAATAACTAAGAACCCCTATGGCCTGTCTTCTGATATTTAGTCCTTGTTAGATAGAAGAGAGAGCCAGGATCCTAGTTTGAAGTTTGTTGCCAATTTCTTTTCCACTGTCAGAGGTATCTGAAAATAGAACATTATGATCAGGGTTCCACATTTCTAACTTACAACTTCATTCTTTACAGAAATAATGTAACAGAAGGATCTATAGTTAACTTGTAGTGCATGAATTTTTTAAATGTATTTTATGTATGAGTACTCTGCATGTAAGCCTGCACTCCACCAAAAGGTATCAGATCCCACTATAGATGGTTGTGAGCCACTATGTGGGTTCTGGGAATTGAACTCAGAATCCCTGAAAGAACAACCAGTTCTCTTAACTGCTAAGCCATTTCTCCAGCTCCTAGTTTGTAGTGCTTTAAAGAGTCGTCCCTCCCTCCTCAACCCCCCCCCCCAACACCCACCCCACGACAGAGTTTCTCTGTGTAGCCTTGACTGACCTGGAAATTGCTCTGTATACACTCACAGATACCTGCCTGCCTCTGCCTCCCAAGTGCTGGGATTAAAGGTGTGTACCACCTCTGCCAGACAGGAAGTCTTTGTGGGCTAAATATTATGGACTGTTCTTTGTTTAGAACCTTGGAGTTCCTTTTTTTTTTTTTTCTCCTCAATCCCAGGCAGTACAACACAGGTCCATTTAAAACAAATAGGTCCAGTACTTGTGAAAGAGAAAGGAAAAAAAAAAATCAACATTACTTTTCTACTTAGACCTCTGATCTCTTGTTATGAGTGAAAGAGAGAAAACATAACAGGTTTGAACAATGGAGTTGATGACTTGGAAGTTGCTGGTTTTCTGTTTCTGTGAAGACATCAGAAGAAAACTCTTTTCATTTACAGCAGTACAAATAACAGAGCCTGTTATAACATTTATAGCAACCTATAGTTTGTAGCTATAAAAACTTGAGATAAAGAAGTGAGGTTTGTGTCTGTGTTCAGCAAGCTAGTAAATGGGTGAATTGAAAATTCCTGCTTGGTGGAGTGCTGGCTGTGCTTGATGAGGACCTGATTTGATCCTTTTACCCACATAACAAGCTGACTTGGGGCTCATGACCACTTGCAAAGCCAGCCCTATGGGGACCAGAGACAGGAGGATCTCTGGGGCTTGCTTGCTGACAGTCTAGCTGAAAAATGCCAACTCCAGGTTCAAGGACATCATGCCACAGAGAAATAAGATAGAGAGTAATAGAGGATGATACCTGGCACCCTCCCCTGGCTGATTATCATGTGTGTATAGGCATGTGCACTCAAATGCACATGTGCACATGTACCAGCTCCCCTTCGGCCAGGCCTGGTGGTGAAGGCTCATAATCCTGGCTTCTTGGGAGGCTGAAACAGGACTGAAAGTTCAGTGTCTACGTGGACTACACAATAGGTCAAGGTTAGCCTGGGTAATTTAGTGAGTGAGATCCTTTCTCATAGTGAAAGGGGGAAAAGTGGGCACTTGCTTAGCATGTATATGCGCACACGCACGTGTGTGTGTGTGTGTGTGTGTGTGTGTGTGTGTGTGTGTGTGTGTGTGTGTGTGGGCGTGTGTGCCCTTTTTAGGGGTGGTTATGAAGACTTATGACAGTCTTATTTAGTACATAGCTTGGTACGTGGTAAATGTGTATTGTGTAGCTAATGAATGAATAATCATATTGTTTTGTGAACTTTTAAAATCCTTAACACTGGAGTTAGTCATTGAATTTGAAACTTCTGGAAGAGAGTACTGTTACGTGCGTGTGATTCACTGCAGAGGACCACCCAGGATATCTTGTGTCTCAGTACACTATCAGCTTAATGCCTTGAAGCCCTGGGGTGGTGTCAGAGGAAGTGATTAATGACAGTAAAGAGCCTGTTGCTTGGATATTCTTGATGTTTTGTCAATTAAGCCAAAGACATACATCAGTGTTGTAGAGCTCATTTGATAGAGCTCAACAGATTGTACACTCCAGTTGGATTGGAGGACATGCAATCAAATGAATCTTGAGGCAAGTATGTTTGTATGTTTATCTGACCAGTGTGTTATTTGTGTGTTGCAGGTATTCGCTGAAACCAAATGACCAGATCTTGGCTGAAGAAAAGCACAAGGAATTGTAAGTTCATTAGACCTCACTTGTACGCACTTATTCTGTGAAGTAGATGTATGTAGTCCACTTGACTTAAACATTTTATACACAACACACATACACTGTGGCTGTAATCATAGTGGGGTTAGTTTAATTTGCACTATATAATTTGTGCTATCTCAAATGAACCTCAAGGTAATTGTTTGTGATACTCATTGAAATATTTCACATTGTATTTATTTTCAGGTAACATGTATGATTGGAAACACATTTCTTTCTCTTTCCTTGGATAAAACATGAAATTCATGGTTAATTTTGTAGTTTTATGCAGGTGCTTTTCTCTAGCACTACCTAAAGATGAAGAAATGTGATTTTTAGGTTTATACAAAAGCAAATACCTGCTTATTGTTTAGGATAAAGTATGTCAAATATGAAGCTTGAAGTGTGAACATTCTTAGATTTTTTAATGTACTTCTTTTAGATTTCTTTTCATTTCTTTTTTTTTTTTAACTTTTGAGAAATACCATGGGGAGCTAGGATATTTTCTTTGACATTTTTTTTTTTCTACTGGAAGGTTTTATTTTAAAGATTGACATCTGACAAGCACTGTCAGTATTTTAGTTACAGCGATAAGTTTGGGAAATTTGAAACTTATGTCAGTCTTTTAAATATGGCTGTCTAAAGAGGGAAGCTTTAAAATATATATATATTTTAACATGGTCCATTTTCCCCATTGTTTAGTAAGGAACATGCTGATAATGTCGAGTATTATATATAAACAGGCAACATCAATACTGTAAAAGGAAGATTTAGATTTAATTATAATTATAATTATATTATAATTATAATACTAATTAGGTTACACCATATTACTTACTCTGCATATTAATTAAGTCTGTATCCCATTTATAATTACATTGACTTTTCCAAAGTTCCTTGGAAATTTTCTTAGTATATTATTTACACTTTAATGTTAAAGGCATTTTATTAATTAATTAAGTTGTACTAAAGTTCTAACTCTGTAGTTCAGGCTGACAAAAGTACCACTATGTGCCCTGGCTGCTTTTGAATTCAAGGTAACCCTCTGCCTGCCAGGTGCTGGGCTTAGGGATTACAGAAGAGAGGCACAACACCCTGTACCCATTTTGTCTTCATACCTAACTCAAATCAGTCTTGATTTATTTAATTTTGTCTTCATTTGTATACACACACACACACACACACACACACACACACACACACACTATGTACTGTTTGCTATATAACATTTTAAATATCTGGTATTCAGTTTATTTTAATGTTTATTTAGAAGTTAATATTTATTTAGAACTGTCCAAGATGCAGTTCACCTCCACATTTAGAGTCAGACTAATGGTTTGGTTTTTTTTGTTTGTTTGTTTGTTTTGTTGGTTTTTCGAGACTGGGTTTCTCTGTGTTTTGGAGGCTGTCCTGGAACTAGCTATTGTAGACCAGGCTGGTCTCAAACTCACAGAGATCCGCCTGCCTCTGCATTCTGAGTGCTGGAATTAAAGGTGTGCGCCACCGCCGCCTATCGACTAATGTTTTTTTCCTTGCAATTTATTATGAAAAATAATTTTTAACATTTAATTTTATCAGATACATTAAATATAATTATGGGTAAATTAAACATACACTATATATTCACCTCTGCATTTTCTCATTTATATTTTATTGTATTTCTCTATCCCTTTCATGTTTTGTCTTCAATTCATTAGTCCATTCAGTTCATTAATTTGTCTTTTTATTTTTGGGTTCACTTCAAAATAAGTTTCAGAATACTTCCCCTAAATTAATGGGGTTTAATGTTAAGTGTTTTTTTTTTTGTTTTGTTTTGGTTTTTGGTTTTTTTTTATTGTTTTGTTTTTTGTTCTTCTAAATTTCTTATGCTAGAATTTTGAATAAGTGAATTTGTATGTCTGACTTTTTTTAGTAAGGCCTTTTTAAAAATTTTCTCCTCTTATTCATTTCTTTTTCATTCTCCTGAACTCCTCTTTTGGCATAGAATTTCACTGTGTTACCCTGGCTAGCTTGGAGCTAACTCTTTTTGAATATGAACATACTGGTCCTAACTCATAGAGATCCACCTGCCTCTGCCTCTTTGAGTGCTGGCTTGATAGCCATGCACTACTATGCTTGGTTATTCAGTTGGATTTTGAGGTAGATCATTATTGTTGTATGTGTCATTTAATTCCCTTTTTATTGCTGATTAGTATGTCATCTTTTTTTTTTTTTTTTTTTTTTTTTTTTTTTTTTGGTTTTTTTCTTTGGATAGCCCTGGCTGTCCTAGATAATATGGCATTTTTATGGGAATAGTTTATCTGTTCTTTATTTGTTAGTGTTGGCTATTGGGTGACTTTGAATGTCTTCTGTCATGTAGTTCTTTTGAACACTGCACTAGCAAAACCTTGTAATTGAATATGGATAGAATTTTAAATTAAAATTCATCATCAGCTCTTTGTAAAAATGTTTATAGATAATCTCATTTTTTTTCTTCAAGATTCAAACAGCCCAAAATTCTCACTGAGAAGGTAAAAAATGCTGACCACCCTAGTTTGATCATTACACATTGTATGTGTGCATTGAATTGTTGGATTTTACTATGTCCTATAAATGTGCCTATTCAAAAGGATAGCCCAAATCTCTTTGTGCTCAAGACCAAGTCTTAAAATAATGAAGTATACATATAATGCAAGTTGTGTGGCTGAGAAGACAGCCACCCTGAGCTTGCCAGGCAAGCATGGGCATCTGAGCGTGAATCCCTAGAACACAAGGAGTACAAGCACTTCGTGCACCTGAAGCCCCAGTGCTCCTGCAGGGAGGTGTAAGATGTGCATGGGTGAATTCCCCAAGCGTGCGAGACAGCAAGCTTGTGATGCTCAGAGGTAAACCATATAAGAGAGGCCCTGCTTAAAACAAGATGCAACGTGGTGACCAATACCCGAGGTTGTCCCCTGACCGCCACATATTTGCTGTGGTATACATACACTTGCACTTACACACATGTAAAGTAAATATATACATGCATACATGTATATACATACACCAAGACAAAAAAAAAACCCCAAAATACAATTATCTAATTAATGATGCATGTATTATTCTCATAAAACACTATTATTATTCCTTATATTCAAAGTAAATCATTATGATATTATAAAAAAAAAACCTGTGGATACTGTCACATTACTCACTTACCTGCAATGTACCCTGATTCAATGTATACATATAAGAGCTATTGGCCTACTGGTAGTTGTTATTGCTTTATATGGTATAATTATGTTTTTATTAAAAGTAGGCTTAGTTCCTAAAATCTGATGAATCAGATTCCATAAACAGTCACTCATGCTTCATGGACATCCTCCCCAACCTTTTCCTGGAAAACCCACTTGTCACACAAGGAATAAACTGGTCAGCAGTGACATTTGTTTCTCTAAGCAGAATGATTTTCCTTGTTTCTCCACACTAAATATGCTGCTTTAGGGGATGATTTTAAGTTAGGGAAATAGAACAGTTAATAGTTGTGATGACATTAATCCAAAACTGTGGGGTTCACTCTTGGCTCTGGATAATTCCCTAATGAAACTGGTTATTAATTTCCTGTGGATTTTTATTTTTACTTTATTGCAATCTTAGTTTTATAAGTGGAATGTCTTAAAATAAGAAAAATGTCACATTCATTCAGTAGTGTTTTTTCTTTGCTTGTGCCAGTTACTGTGTATGAGCATAACACGTCTATGAAGAATTACACCCGAGAACTAATTTAAAGAGAGAATGGCTTATTTTGGCTCATAGACTCATACTTAAGTCTAGGGTGGCAAGACAGAATATGGTATAAGGGTGTCGTAGAGGAGAGCTGTTCTGGGAAGCCAGCAAGCAGAGATAGAGACAGAGGTTCAGGTTTCTATCACCTCTCAATAATGCCATTAAATTATTTTTCCTTTTGTTCTTTTTCTTCTTTTAGTTTTCAAGACAGGGTTTCTCTGTGTGTCCCTGGCTGTCCTGGAACTCACTCTGTAGACCCAGCTGGCCTCAAAGTCAGAGAACTGCCTGCTTCTGCTTCCCTGAGCACTGGGATTAAAGGTGTGCACCACCACCAGTGCCATTAAATTCTTAATCCATCAGTAGGGTAGTCCATGGGTTAAGACAGAGCTCCTGCGATTCATTCATTATCCAAAAGTCTCATTTTTGAACATTGCAAGCCTTCAACAAATGCTGGGGGCTGGGAAGTTGTATTTTATATCCATGCCATATTGTTGTACTAGGCACTATTCAAAGATACTCTATAGTTTTTTTGTATATCTATCGTATCACAATAAAGTTATTGAAAAAGTGAAAGATACTAACATCTTTTGTAAATAAAGACTTAAGAATATTTTGTTTCTCCTTTGGTTTTGGACAGATTTGCAATGTAGAAGATAGAACCATTTTTTACAGAGATATATTCATTTTACAAATATGTAAATTTTATATTGCTTTGAATATGAATAGTATATTGAGATATGATCATCAAGATTCATGTAAGAAAATTTAATAGTTGCTAAAATTATTACTGAAAATTTATTCATACTACTTTATAGAAGTAGACTAAACTTGATGGCTGATTATTTTTTCCTCTTTGCTATATTCTACAAGGCAGAGAGAAATATCTTTTAAAGGGACTCAGATACATTTGCTTGACTGTTTAAGATAGATACTAATGTAAAGTGTAATACTCCATTTCGTCATGAATAGGGTGAGAGTCTTACTAATAAAGTAACCTGCTACAGTTTAATATACCCATTTAATGACAATGTTGAACCTGTAACTGGTTTCCTGCCCCCCTCCATTTTAATTTTTATTTTGGTTACATCAAAAAGTGCCCTAAACACAGTAATTTTATTTTGTTTATTTATTTTTAAAGATTATTTTATTTTATGTGTATGAATGTTTTGTTAACATGTATTTTATGTGTATCACATATGTGTGTGGTCCCTTTGAAGGCTAGAAGTGGGCCTCAGGTTCCCCAG